GAAAGAGACAGGTGGTAGTGGCGCGATGACTTTGTTTCCCAAACTACTGATCAATAGCTTCACACTATTCAACTTGCCAAACCTCGAGAGATTTTGCCCTGATGCCTATTCCTTTGCATGGCTCTCCTCCACGAGAACTATGGAGGTGTCAAGATGTCGCCAATTAAAGACATTGGGTTTTGCACCACTAAGCAAAAAGCGGCCTGCAATTGCAGAGAATTTGAGTGATGATCATGTAAGAGGTAGAGAAGAATCAGGTGGTGCATCATCATCAACTGGATCTGGATGTTCGCCACTAGTATGCTTTCAAAGTCGTCCATCTACTCGCAACTTTACTCAAATATTGCCTCAGGTTGTAAATAGAGAGGTACGCCATTATTCTAAACTACGCATCTCAATATTAGTATACACATATATAACTTACGGAGAGGGATACCTCTATTTTGTAAAAATTGGTCTTAGGTACAGATGTCATTGAAGATAAAGTCTGAAATAGATATTTATTTATGTTTTATTAATTTGAAGCCTCACAATAAGTGAATTTTTGGAAAGCCAAACTTTATATTGCCCTTGTTGGAATTTGAGATATCTTGGTGCTGTGGTTCAACTAACACACACACACGCACAAGAGAAAAAAGAGCAAATAAACAAGGAAGGAATTTCTGTAAAATACGTCTCAAGTTAGAAAATCCAGAAATGTGATATGGGAGAAAACCTGTTCTCTCTAGCTTCTTGAGCACACATTTTGTATATTGTCTTGGAATGATAAATATTAGAAGTCAAGGCTAATTATATCACTCAGCCAAGAATCGGGTAAGCCACACATATGAGAATGACTATGTGGCTTAATCTAAGCCGTACAAATAAGGTAGCATATAATACAACCAAGGATAGAACAAGTTTCTGTTTAAAGTGTCTCAGGACATCTTTTTGACAGAAACTCAACTACACTAGTACAACAAAGGCATTATATGAATACTGGTAACTTGTGAAATGATCTTCTTCTTTTTATATGAATACTTCATTTTTCATTTTAAACAACGTTCTTGATTTCTAGAATGTGATAACATCCCATATGTATATGGTTGAAACACTAACAAATTATACAATTACTTTTCTACCCTTTTGGCAGGTTACGCCGACAAATCTTCAGACTTCAAGTGCTAGCGACAATCTAGAAGATCTCGAAGTATATGGGTGCGATTTATTGGAAGTGATATTTTTGGTTCAGGAAACCCCTTCTACTCAAGCATTTGATAAGCTGAGGGAATTGAAGTTGTTCTATTTACCAATGCTGAGCCACATATGGGAAAAGGGTTTACGAGTTAGCTCAGGCTTTGGAAACCTCAGATTCCTGCTCGTATGGGGGTGTCACAAATTGAGATACTTGTTTTCACCGCACATAGCCAAACTTCTTACCTGCCTTGAGATAATAAAAGTTTCCAAGTGTAGTGCGATGGAGAAAATTGTTGGAGAGGCAGAAGGAGGAGGAGAAAGTATTGAGGATGAATTGACATTTCCGCACGTGAATTCCATCGAACTTGAGGATTTACCCCAACTTGAATCATTTTGCTCTGAAGCTTATACTTTGAAGTGGCCAGCCTCGAAGGAAGTCATAGTTCGAAATTGTCCAAAATTTAAAAGTGTTTGCTCCTGAGTCTCTATATGTATAAGCAACCGACATGTGTCTACGAAGCGTCCACGTGGAGAGAAAAGAAGGTACGTTTTCAATTAAACCAAGCAGTCTGGTCGGTCACTATAAAATCAATAGAAGATATATGTATAGCTTAATATATTTTCATGAATTGGCGTTGCTTTTTATTTTTCTTTGCCTTATCTTTCTCATGTCATTAGTCCATGTCCACGTGTTTAAGCTATCTATGATTTTCTATTTTAATGATAGATAATAATTTTTTATTCTTTATTTTGCATAATCTTTGAGAAGAATATCATCAGAAGCCAAGAAGCTAGGGACAAGACTACATGATATGTTGTGGTGCACATCTACAAGATACCAGTCGCTTTCATCACTGATTATACATGTTAATGTTCCTCATATCCTGCCATTGCATCTCTTTGATCAGATAATTTAGTTATTATCTTTAGTTGTATTATAAAACTGGATTTATTTGGACCTTCCTTTTCGTATGTAATATTACCATATTGAATCTTTGGATGTTTGAATCTTTGGATGCTAATCAAATTACAAGCATGAAAGTTAAGTGTAGTTTAATTTGGGCCAAGTGGATGTATAAATTAACCAAAGTTGTTAATAGAAAGATCCTACTCATACTCATTTTTCGACTCCTATATAATAATAAAAAAATCCAATTTTAAAATATATTACCATTTTTTCTTCTATGTATCCATCAAGTAATATCAACGATCCATCTAACGGCCAAAAAAATACATGGTCCGAATAACACTAACATAAGGACAGTTTAATTGGCCTGCGTGCGTTAGGGAATCTGCTGTGATGCAATCCAATGTAGTGTAGTGTAGGTATCCCGTATTTTCAATCAATTCAATGAGATGATCTAAAGGTCGTAATTGACTCCACAATCAAGATCCAGCCAAAATTGTGATTGAAAGGAAAATCTCAAAAGTAGAATGGAAAGGAAAAACCACAAATCCAAATTGGTCCGCTATCAAATTAGAAACAGTACCTGACTTAAAATTCAATCATCAATTCATTATTGATGCTTAAGTTCAAATGTTCTAAGGATAAGAAGGGCTTCATTGCCTGGAAAGTTGATCTATCTAAAGCCTATAATAGATTAAATTGGAAGTTTATTGAAAAGGTTCTTGGTGAAATCGGCATGCCCAATAACTTCATTAAGCTGGTTATGAGTCATGTTTCTTCTGTCAGATATCAAGTTTGTGTTAACGGCAAGCTCTCTCAACCTTTTATTCCAAAGAATGGTATTAGACAAGGAGATTCCCTATCTCCCTGCCTCTTTGTGTTTTGCATTGAAAAGCTATCTCATATCATCTTTGATACTATCAATAAGGGAAATGGAAACCTGTTAAGTCCTTCCAAACTGGTCTTGCTGTGTCGCATTTGTTTTTAGCTGATGACTTAATCCTTTTCACTGAAGCTAGTACGCAACGAGCTAGGATGATGAAGGGGTGCTTGGACTTATTTTGTCAAGCCTCTGGTCAAACTGTCAACTTTGACAAGTCTACTGTATTTTGTTCTCCTAATACCAGAAGGGCATTAGCTCAAGAGATTAGTTTCATTTATGGCTCCCTTTTAACAGACAAGCTACGAAAATACTTGGGAATGCATATCTTGCACTCTAGGGTAACTCGATCCACTTACAGCAGTTTGCATAGTAAGATTCACTGCAAGCTTGCCAATTGGAAAAGTAAGTTGTTTTCTTCAGCTGGGAGGGCCACTCTAATCCATGTTGCCACATCTGTTATTCCCATTTATTCTATGCATACCACAAAATCACCTATTAGTATTTGTGAAGATTTGGATAGGTTAAATAGAAATTTCTTCTGGGGAGGAAGTGATAGAACGAAGAAAGTCCACCTCTATCAATGGAATCTACCATGTAGACCTAAAAACAAAGGTAGTTTGGGTTTCAAAAAAGCTAGGGACACGAATCAAGCTTCGTTGGCTAAAATCGATTGGAGGATGCACAACAAAGATAATGGCGCAGTATTAACGACACGATCACGATCACAAATTGGTGCAGAAGGCAATGTCAAATAATATTACCCCCCATTATCTGCTTACCTTGCCCAATCGTCTCGTGAGTCTTGAGATCTTGAAAAGAGTAATGAGTATGATAGAAAGTAGCAGAAGCATTACGTGTATCAAGTAATTAACCAACAGATACAAGTTACAACGGATATTGGGAACTGGTAACGCACGAGAAAAGGACAGATTAGGAGTGAGAGAGATTGTACCTCGCCAGTAATTGGAGAGGGCAAGCCATTAGCATTAGTTATATATGAGTCATGGGTGTTACTAGACAACTCATCAAAAAAATTAAGCATCATAAGTCATATGATTAGAAGAGCCAGTGTCAATTGTCCAAGTACCGAAGCCAGTACCTGGAATTTAGTCAGAAACACACAAATTTGTAGAAACAGCAGCAACAACACCAACAATGGAGCTATCACCCATGATTGCAGCAAAAAATCAACAGATCACGTCACAGTACTCAACAGAATACAGCAGAGGCACAAATACAATAGATGCATGAAGACAGGCACAAACACAATAGAGCAACAAACATGGCAGAGTACACAGCGGAACACAACAGAAGCACAAATACGACAGATGCACGAAGACGGGAATGGCATGAACACAGTAGAGGCACGAACACTACAACACAACACACAAACCCAAGAGGGCACACATGGCACAGGTAGAAAAAATATGGGGCTAGAATACGGGTGAGCACAACACATAGGTCACCAGAAAGTCTGCTCTGATGCCAAGTCAAACAATATGGATAGAAAATTTTCATACATATTTCAATTTCAAAAGAAGGTATTTATAGATATAAGGTTGTAACCCTAGTAGGGTTACACAAGGAAATAGGATAAAATCCTAATTACACAATATCTATACAAAAGTGAAAGAAATAGAGTCCTAATAGACTAGGGAATAAATCTCTTAATTAAGTTAGGATCTCTCTAACAACTAATAGAAAGAATATTAATGTGAAGACCCATATTTTTAAAAAATATATATTTTGCTGCCTATTTAGTTATATATTTAAATTGATTATATATATATATAGTTGTTTTACCATTTTAATTATTATGTGTATTTTATTATATTAAATATGTATATATGATGCATGATATTCTTATTCGATTAGTATTGATTTATGCATGCTTATCTTCCTCCAAATTTATTGTGTGGTGTTAAAGCTTTCTATTCTATTAGTTATTATGTTTTGCTGTCAAAACATATGGTGCCTTCATATTATTAAGTTAAGTGTGGATAGCAAGAAAGTTGGTATAGCTTCACAAATTGATTACGTCATGTAAGCAGAGGTGGAACTTTAAGTTTTCCTCTTATTGACACATCTTCTAGCATGCAATTGTTTAATAAAGTTTTTGATAGATATTTCAGCTTTGGCTTGAACAAGAAAATTGTTATATTGTTATCCTTTAGTAAACCGCCAATTACTTCATCCAATAGAAGTAAAGGTGTAGCCGACATTCGTTTAGTATAAATAGGAATGCAATTCTTTCATTTTGAAATGCACGCATGGTTTGCATGCAAAGTAAGAGTTCTTGAGAGAGAGAGAGAGAGAGAGAGAGAGAGAGAGAGAGAGAGAGAGAGAGAGAGAGAGAGATATGATGAAATTCTTGGAAGAGATATAGGGCTGAGCTTGTATTTTCTTAATTTGGAGCAATGCTTTGGAATCGAGGTAGGGGTTTCTTTGGGGCCCTTTTACAAAGATTGATTTAATTAAATTTCGTGAGCATTATATTATGCATGGTATTGTTTGATTTACGTTCCAAATCTTAATTGTTTGAACAATGTGGGCATGATTGTAACATCCCACATCAACCAAAGGAGAAGGGGTAATGTGCCTTATATGTACATACCCGCCTCCATCTAGCACGAGGCCTTTTGGGAGCTCATTGGCTTCAGAGTCATAGGAACTCCGAAGTTAAGCGAGTTGGGGCTAGAGCAATCCCAGGATGGGTGACCCATTGGGAAGTTGCTCGTGAGTTCCCAAAAACAAAACCGTGAGGGCAGAGAGGAGGCCCAAAGCGAACAATATCGTGCTACGGCAGAGACGATCCCAGGATGTTGTCCGCTTTGGGCCCCGCTCTTTGCCCTCACTGTTTTGTTTCTAGGAGCTCACGAGCAACTTCCCAGTAGGTCACACATTCTGGGATTGCTTTAACCCCAACTTGCTTAACTTCAGAGTTCCCATGACTCCGAAGCCAGTGAGCTCCCAAAAGGCCTCGTGCTAGATGGAAGCGGGCATGTACATATAAGGCACATCACCCTCTCTCCGTTGATTGATGTGAGATGTTACAATCCACCCCCTTAGGGGCTCGACGTCCTCGTCGGCACACTCGCACCACACGACATAGTGGCTCTGATACCAAATTATCACATCCCGAGATCGGCTCCGCCGTAGCACGATATTGTCCGCTTTGGGCCCCGCTCTCTACCTTCACGGTTTAATTTCTAGGAACTCACGAGCAACTTCCCGGTGGGTCACCCATCCTGGGATTGCTCTAGCCCCAACTCGCTTAACTTCGGAGTTATCATGACTCCGAAGCTAGTGAGCTCCGAAAAGGCCTCGTGCTAGATGGAGGCGGGCATGTACATATAAGGCACATTACCCCCTCTCCGTTGGTCGATGTGGGATGTTACAATCCACCCCCCTTAAGG